GCATCGTGAGCTTCGAGGGTCAGGGAGCCACACTCTGAAGCCATTTAAGGTCAGCCTCTGGACCTCCAGACCTCCCTGCCTCCCTGCCTCTGTTTTCCTCCCTGGGCACCTGTGTGGCCCCCAAGGCTCCTCTCCACTCTCCCCACTTGAAGCTGACCTGCAGTCCCCTCCCAGGTCTCCCAGGATGGACCTCGCCATGCCCCTCCAAGCGTTGTGAAGGCCCCACTGCCCCTCTTGCTGAGGCCCATGGTGGGCACATCGCACCTGGCTTTGCTGAGCAGAGAAGGTTTGAGCCTTTAGTCTGGGGCAGGTGCTCTGTTTCCAGAACCTCGAAGTTACCCCAACCTGTCTGTGCTGGATCCTTGGCCAGGGGCCCACCAAGGAAGCCCTCAAGGAGGTCTCGATGTTGTAGCTAGGGGAATAAAAGCTGACCCCAACATCTGGGGAAAGGTCCACATTTCTCTTACGGGCCAGAAGCAGGGTGAGGGGCGCCACCGGGGAGGCCTTTGGGGTGGAGCCCTATGGGATGGAAGAGTTCGGCCCTGTGCACATGCTTAGAAGGGAGGTATATTCTGGATGCGTGAGGACCCTTGAGAGAAGGCAGGGCTGAGACACGCTGTTGGCCAGTGGGAAGAGATCAAAGCTAGAGGCAGAATACTTGATGGAAGAGTTGGGTTGAGGCTCAGGCACGGACGGTGGCTGAGGAGAGGCGTGTCCTTGCCACACTGAGGGTTAGAAGAGGAAAACTTGGCAGGCGGCTTCCATCCACCCACAGCCTCTTTTCGGGAACAGTGACAGACACAGCACACAGGATGAGAATTCCTCATGCATGACAGTCATCCCCCCCGCCATTCAATAAAGAGAATTCCATTCACTACCAAAGAAAGACCTCGACTTCCCACACCGACATTTTGGGCTTTTATGACATGTCACAAAAGGCAGAGCGAGGTGGGCCTTGTGTTAGGAGAGGCCGAGACGTGGGAGAAGCGAACAGCACCAGGAAGGGAAACGTGAAAGCGCGGTGCTGCGTCGCCCCTGCGCGCTCTTCGTGTTGGCTGAGAGATACGAGTTAGCAACTTGGTGTTTGCTTTTTTTTTTTTTTTTTTTTTTTTTAAGATGTCCTCTGGTTGCTGGATTTGGCTTCTTTGATGACTGCATTGCCCTGAGACTGGACCCCAGGGGAAAGCGCTCCCCGGACAGCGCAAAGGTGGGTCACCACATACAACAGGGTCTCTTCCTAATCCAACACAAACCATGTGATCCATGGTACTCTTAAAAATCATGTAACTCACCCTTGAATGGCGGGACTCGAGCCCTAAAAAGCTCAGACATGTAAAAAGTTACCTCTTTTTTTTGTTGATGAAGGTTGGCCATAGGGTCCCTTTTCCTGGGGCTGTTTCCCTAAAACAGGAAGGAAGGCAAAGGAATTTAGAACATAATTTCTTCTTAAGCATACATAATAATCAAATTCTGAAAAGTGAAATGTACATGTGCCTCTGTGTGTGCGTGTGTGTGTGTGTGTGCATGTGCATTCATGTGTGTGTTTGTGTGCTTTGTGTGTGCTCATGTGTGGATGTGTGTGTGCTCATGTGTGTGTGCATGTGTGCCTGTGTGTGCTATGATTCCACCGATATATTTCACAGAGGAGAGCGGTTCCTGCTTCTGTGTCTTATTCATTGAAGCTATGCCTGCTCCCCCTGCCCCAGGCTCTCCTTCCAGGGCCAAAGTCATCCTTCATCTCATCTATTCAACCTAACAGATGTATTTTTAGGAAAGAGACCCTCCATGCATTTGCAGCTCCGGGCTTGGTGACTTCTACATTCCTTTCATCTTTCTAAAGGGGGAAAGAGGGGAAGGTCAACACAAAGCCAGCCGTGGCACAGGCCTGGAGGAGAAGGCTGACCGTCCATAGACAGAAGGCCCAAGGCTGTTCTCGCTGCGCTTTGCTGCTGGGAGTGAGTGGCTGGGTGGCAGGCGCCCTCCATGGCCTGTATGAAACTTCACAAATGGCGCTTTGTCATACCGCCGAGGGATCTGGGACGTCCCGTGAGGTGGAATATACAAACGCCCACTGGATTAAGAGCCGTCAGACTGGTTCCCAAAGCAAACACTGAGCTAATTTTTCCAGCATATGTCTTTCATGTCTGGGCTGCTTCAGGCTTTGCTGGGTCACTGGGCTCTTTGTTGCTGCCTCCGCCGAAGTCCCCGGCCCCTCCGCCTCACTGGCTCCTGGAGTCACCCAAATCCTAATACAGTGTTCCGTTTCACTTGAGGAGCTGGAAGAGCCCCCCGAAGAGTTCCTCTGAGATTGGCCTCTGAAATGTGCATGTTAGTGAGCAGGAACCCATTGGAAGTTTGGGATCCCTTTTCTCCAAGTCCACAGCACATGCCGGCCTGTACAAGTCAGGTTCTTACTTCAGGGTGTGTCCCCGATCCTGTCACATGTGTCTCCTCCTGAGAACTGCCTGGTCGTGCTACACAGCCCTCTGACCCTTGCGAAGGTGCACCAGGGGCCCATGCTGTGTCAGGGTGGTCCCCAAACTCCTCCCAGCACTGCCTCCATTCATGCATCGATGTACCAGAGACACCAAGCTAAAACGGAACAATCTAGAGTGGTCTTCAGATTTTCTGCCCAATTTCACTTTATAGGCAGCAACAAGAAGAGAGTCAGCTAAGATGACCCAGTGAATGAATGGATAGCACAGGACCAGGGACCAGCTCTCCTGGCAAGTAGCCCTCTCCCCACCTCCTCCCAGTGGGCTGTACATCCCTGCCTGGGAGGAGCGAGGATCAGGTCCCCATGTGGCTGCACCAGGGCTGATGGCTTTCTGTGTGTAACTGAACCTCCAGCTCTCCATCAGGGCAAATAAATCATCATCGATGCTCCAAAGGCAGTTTACGTGTAAACATGTGTGCTCCTGACGAGCTCTCGTCTCCTTCCTTATCCACCACCACTCCTGCTCCATGCTCCAGTGACCCCAGCCTGCCCAGAGTTCGTGGAATGGTCTGTGCTGTTTCAGGGTGCTGTCGCTGTGTGGCTGTCCCAGCAGCCTGGAATCCAGCCGTCCCAGCCTGCCTTTCCTGACCCATCCTTTAAAATCAGCTCAGATATTCCCTTCTCCTGGAACCTTTCACACCTTGCATCTCCTTCAGCAGAATCATTTCTCTCTGCTTTGTGTTCCTAGGACACCTGCCATTCCTCACCTGGAGCTCTTACCTGGGCGCCTTGCACACCTGTCACCTCAGTGGGCTGTGAGCTGCTTGAGGACTGGGCAGGTCCCTTTTTCTCCCGCCTCCGCTGCCTCTTGCAGGGTACTGGGAAGACAGTAGGCACTCAATAAATGTCAGTGAAAGCCTGCAGTGGACACATTAAAAACAAAAATAAAACTAAATTAACTAAAATGTTAAGTATTGAACAAGGTGCGTATCCCACAACTCCTTAGGGAGAGGAAGGGGTAGGATATTGTCAAGCACTACAAATATCCCTCAGGCCCTCCTAACACATCACAGGTTTCCAAAGGGTGGACCCGCTGAGCTGATCAGAGACAGGAAGAGGCACGGTGGGGGGGAATGTATGTGTTCCATTTCTACAATTCAGATGCCAGTTTCCTTGTTTAGGGGAGTAAAAGTGTTTAAAATCGAAAAACCACAAAAAGATGGTTAAATTTTGTTATCAAGATTACACTTCTTGTGGCATTAAAGCTGCCGTGCCTTGTCCACTGGCCTGCAATCCCAACATTTAGGAGGCTGAGGTGAGAGCATCACTTGAGCCCAGGAGTTTGAGACCAGCCTGGACAACATAGTGAGACCCCATCACCTCAAAAAATGTATTTAGTTAGGCATGGTGATACACACCAGAGCTTCAGGCAGGAGGATTGCTTGAGCCAAGGAGGTCGAGGCAGCAGTGAACTCTGATGGCACCTCTGCACTCCAGCCTAGAGCACAGTGCAAGGCCCTGTTTAAAAAAAAAAAAAAAAAAAGTTATAAGGCTTTGCTTTGTGGAGCCTGTTTGGAGTTTCTGACATCTGCCATTATCCTCATCACCACCACCACCATCATCTTCATCATCACTGTAATTACCACCATCATCATCATGATCACAGGTGGCATCCTTATAATTACCGTGGTTCATGCCAACAAGCAACCCAGAGTAACTGTGTGGATCTAAAGCTACCTGGTACAGGCCGGCAGCAGCAGATACTTCTGGGAGGAGCTTCGTAAGTGGATGCTTTTCTCCCCAGCTCCTCTTTACACAATTATGGGTAACCAGGAGCCCAGCGTTTTTATGCACCAGCTGTAGCCTCACCTCTGTCCCCTAGTTTTACCCAGAGCCTGACCTCACAAGTCAATTACAGCTGTTTTCATTGTGCTCATCAGCTTCCAGCATCCACCCTGGCCCAGCTTTCAACAGAGGGTGGATTCCCATGAACTCTATTCTTTATGACCAGCTGGTTCCGATTAGAGATGCACCAATAAAGCAGGGAGTAATACAGTCGCCGCGTGTTCCTGAATGTTGCGCTTTTCCATGTGCTTTCAGTTACCGACTGGCCAATAAAACCCAGCCTTTCAACAGGGTGGATTCCATACCTCAGATGTCTTGCTCATTTTGGTACATGCAGGTTTTTAGAGACTGAATAAAAAAAGAGCAGGATGACATAGGCTGGGTGAGTGTGTAAGGGCGTGAGCTTTGCGGGGGTATGAGAGTGCATGTGTGTGCCTGTGTGTGAATATGTGTTTGTAAAGCGTATGACTGTGAGAGTGTGTGATGTATTGGGTCAGATGCAGGGTGTCTCTGATGGGGCAGTAAGCATTGACTTCAGAGCATCTAAGGTTTCGGTACAAATGCTCCTTGTCAGCACCCTTGGTTAAAATTTGGATTATGAGCAAAAGGAGAAATACACATTACGGCATTTTCCTCCCTCATTTCTATGAGAACGAGAACGATTTCTCTCCTTCCTAAATATTTACTTTCCACCTGTTGTTTCGTTTCCCTTTAAAGATAGTCATGACTTATCGGTTTCTCTTGCCTTCGTGCTGCATGGAATCGTTGCTATGAAAACGGCAGGAGCGTTTTAAGGAAAGTCCCACATTGTAGCTTTGTGGCCTGGGAGAAGTTCCGTAGGGTTCCAAAAAGAAGAAAGACAACCTTCCCATTAGGCCAGCCTGTCAAAAGGCAGCACTTGATTGTTTTAAGGTAGTTCAAAGGTGGGTGGGAAAAAAGTCCCTGGAAAAACAGGCAGCGGTTCATCACAACCCTCCAGAGTGCAAAGGTGCAGATTTGGTGCTTCTGCCCCAGGCTTGGTTCCTCAGTTAATTTTTTCCCTCCCACATGGAGAGCTTGCTTTGGGTGCAAACACCAGGCAGATGGAGACAACACAAGTTCCTCTTACACACAAGAAAATGGTTTGAGAACAGGAGCACAAGGAAGCTTCAGGTACTGCTCAGAAGCCTAACTGCATCTAGACCAGGAGATGGGCGATGGGAGGGATGGTCCCTGGCCCTGCCAAGCTCTGGTGCTGTGATGGCACCTTGCCTCTGTGGTTCTGCACTGCAGGCCTGGCTTGCTCCGCGACGATGCTATTCATACCTGAAACCCCACGTAAATGCTGTGGCTGGCATTCAGCTGGTGCTCAATAAATGTGTGTGCCTGATGCATCGCCAGGGAAGGTGTGAGGAGGGTCCTGGGGAGGCTTGCTGAAGGAGGCAGGCTTGAGCCTGGTGGTGTGGATTCTGTTCAGGAGAGAAAAGATGGTTTTAGATGAGACTTGGAATTGAGTGTTGGAATAGCAAAAACGGAAGAATGGAGACCACCAGCTTGGCCTCCTGCAAAGAAGCCAGCATGGTACCCTTAAAAGCAGGAGCACCATAAGCCGTAATTTATCATTAATTTATTCATTCAGGAAATGAAGCCACAACGGTGAGTGATATCCGTCCCTCACTCCTGGAACTTACCTTGCAGGTGGGAAAGACAGAAAATTAACAAGCAGACAAGACTGTGAGATTGTGGCAGGTGCCTGATGAAACAGAGCACTGGTGGGGTGATCAGGGAAGGCTCCTCTCAAAAACTCAAGATGGAGCTAAACCTGAAGGGAAAAAATGAAGGAACGCCATCTCCATGGAAGAGACAGGAGCAGCATTCCGGGGAGAGGAGGCAGCACGTGCAGAGGCCCAAGGTGGGCTCAGCTGGATCTCCGCGAATCAGAGGAGCTTGTGTGGCTGGAGCTCAGTGAAGTGAGATTCTAGCACTGGTTTCTCAGCCTGGGCTATGCACTAGAAATCCAGAAGTCCAGGCTGCACCACCAGAAAGCAGAATCTGGGGGCAGGACTGGGGAGTCAGTGTTTTCTCAAGGGCTCCCAGGGATGCCCATGGGCTGCCAGGGTTGAGCATCCAGGTGCCAGGCTGGGAGCAGGTAAAGTGTGTTAGAACAGGAGAGCAGGGAGCTGGATTGAACACAGATGGTGACAGTGGAGACAGAAATGGTGCCATCAGGGAAAGAGGGTCTGGGCAGATGCTTTAATGCTGAGACTCCAAAGGGAGGGCAGGGTGACTGAGGAAGGCTGCCCTACAGAGGGACGTTACTTGGGGTCTGAGGATGTACAGGATTTAGGCAGTTAAAGGGACGGGGAAGGACAGGAATGGTGTTCCAAGCTGAGCACTGCTTCCAGAGCCACAGATGAAGCTGGACATTCAAGGCAGAGACAGGAAGTTCAGGTGGCCAATGGGACGGGACTGAGGAGGGGACACAGTGCAGCCAGATTGTACAGTGCTGCGGGCTCACTGGAAACTGTCGAGTTTTCTTCTAGGGACTGTCCCCAAACCCAGGATGAGCACTGAGTTCCAGGAGTTTATTTGGGTGGATCCCAAGAAGCTTAGTAGGAGGAGCCTGGGGATGAGTGACAGGGAAGGGAAGGAAGCCACGAGAGGGAGTGCGGACAGTCAGGTGGCCCCTGGACTCAGACCCATCAGAGGCTTCCTGGAGACAGTGGGGAGCACCCCTCAGGTGGTCTGCATGAACGGTGAGGGAGCTGGGGTATTGATCCTTCAACCTGAGCTGGTGGAGGCTGTTCCCGGGCCGTCCACCCCACAGCAGCCCTTTCTGCCCCTGTGTAGGCTGAGCATGCTCCCTCAGCCAGAGACACTCACAGGATGGGACCACAGGTGCTGGCGGCAAGAAGCCACCTGCAAATGGACTGAGGCCAGCGTCTGTGATATTAGCCTGGCTGCATGTTAGAATCACTTGGTGACCTTAAAAAAATATCTAAGGATATTTTTTTCATCAAGAGTCACTTGATGAATTTTTCAAAGAATCAAAGCACACACATGCACACATACACACCACACACACACTACACACATCATGCACAAATCATGCACACTACACACAAATCACACACACATAAACACACATACACCACACACACCACACGCACACATAAACACATATACACACACATATACTATACACACATCACACACAGAAACATACACACACATAAACATGTATCACATACCACACACGTACACACCACGCACAAATCACACACACATAACACATACACCCCACACCACACACACACACAAACACCCCTGGAGGTTCAGGTTGGTCTGTGAAGCTCAGGCTCAGTATTTTTATCAGTATTTCGAGTGACTGCCAGGTAAAACCGGACAGGACCCCCTGCCCGAGTATCAAGGAGCATTAAATGGTTGTAAGCATGACAGCCAACTTAGCCTGAAATCTGTGTCCCAAGACTGTGATCACACCTCTTGGTCTGGGGTAGTTATGGGTGCTGGGCAGAAGGAGCCCTGCCCGGGGATGTGAGCAGGCACTTTTCTTTGCTTGAACATGATTGTCCGCTAAAACTTAATAACCCAGGCTTTTTCTCCATTTCTCTGAAACTGAGCAAGTTTTTGCTGGCATGCAAGGAAAGAAAAACAATCAAATACAAATATTCCTCACTTGGAACTTTTCAAAAGGACAATGTGTAGAGGAAATGTCCAGTTGCTTCCTTTTGCAGAGGGTCACTGCAGCGGCGTGAACTCCTGCCTCTGAACCGGTCACACAACGTCCCTCCTCGGCCCAGGAGCTGCATCGTCACTTTTCGGTAGAAGAGTGGAAATCATGTCAAACTTCCCATTAGGCCAGCCTGTCAAAAGAGAACACTTCATTGTTTTAAGGTAGTTCAAAGGTGGTTGGAAAAAAATCCCTGGAAAAACAGACAGGAGTGCACTGCAGTTCTGCACAGCACAAAGGTGGACGCTCGGGGCTTCTGCCTCAGGCTTGGTTCCTGGGTCAATTTCTTCCTCTCCCACATGGAGGGCTCTCATTGGGTGCAAATACCAGCCAAATGGAGCCAGGAAAAGATCCCCTGTGGAGGAGCAAGTGGCCTTGCTGGCCAGCAGGTGGAATGGCATCCTTGGAGAAAGCATGCTTTCCATGTCTGCATGAGGAGCGTTTTAATTTCTTACCATTGCTAGTCGAGGACAGCTGTCACCCATGTGGCTAGGGGTGGGCTTTGGGCTTTTCTTTTTTCTATTTTTTTCCATAGAGGGTCTCACTCCGGTTGCCCAGGTTGGACTACAGTGGCGCCATCTAGTCTCACTGTAGCCTCAAACTCCCAGGCTCAGGTGATTCTCCCAGCTCAGCCTCTCGAGTAGCTGGGACTACAGGAACATGTCACTTCAGCCAGCTCATATTTTCTATTTTTAGTAGAGACAGAGAGGCAGTCTCCTATGTTGCTCGGACTGATCTCGAACTCCTAATCTCAAGCGACCCAGCCACCTAGGCCTCCCAAATTGCTGGGATTACAGATATGGGCCACTACACCTGGTGTAGAGGTGGTTTTTCCACTTTCTGGTGAATATCATCATTTAATGTTCACCTGCCATGTGCCAGGCAAGAAGTGACCCCGGGGACTCTTGAGCCTTGAGTGGCTCCTGTGGGAGGATCGGGGAACCCTTTCTGAGGAAGGTGGTGCTTTTTGGCTGATGCATTCTGCACTGTTCATTTTTTTTCTCTTGATGACGAATGCTTAGAAAATAGAGATGAGCAAAAACACCATAGGAATCTCTCGGAATTATGGTGACCATGTAATTTATTAGCCAAATTGGGACACTTGGGAAGTGAGAAGACACTGTGATTAATTGATTAATGACACCAGGAGAGACCAGGCAGGAAGCAGTGCTGTCTGGAGCCAAACGGGCCATCTGGGAGCTCTGCTGCTAACATGGCTCCCAGCGACAAACTCCCCCAAAGTCTGGAGCACACTCTTCTGGCCATTTTTCTGTGAAGAAGTACAGGCAGTGTTTTCCATGAAGACGGGACCTTGCTCTGCATTCCAATTTTAGGATGACCATGGACTTCCTGGTCCTAACAGGGAGTGCGGACAGTGAGAGGGGAGAGGCAGATACTCCTGCTGGGAAAACAGGCTGTAGGGTCACCCTTGCTGTTTTGAATCCTGTCTTTGTTCCACTTGAAACATCATAGCACCTTTCCCTTTTACTGTTTTCTTTTCCATAAAAGCATTTCTGATGACTGCCTCCTATTCCAGCATGCATGCATGCCATCTCCTCAGCTGAACTTTTTTGTGGTCTCCCATTATTCTGCTGTTAAAACAATGCAGGGGTGATCGTGCTTGGAGACAGGGCCTGGTGCAAATCCATGATTATTTCTCCAGGACAAATTCTTAGAATGTAAAGTTTTTAAAATGTAAATTTTAAGTTTAAATTGCTAGGCAAAAAGGTATGGGCTCTTATTTATTACTAGAGCTCTGCTCTAGCCAACCATCTCTTGTGAGAATAAATTCCCCCACCCTGACTGCTGGGTATAAAGGTACAATGGTAGGGTGATCACGTTTTAGATTCTTAGACTATTTGTAGGTGGAAAGTGACTGTATCAAGCGTGGAGGGTAAGTGGGAACTGTCAGGAGAAGCGGGGAGGTAGGGTATTCCAAGTAGATGGAAAGACTCACCCAAGGCCAGGGATAATGGAAAACTGCCCAGTTTGGAGGTTCTGTTTATCATCAATATTTCACGTTTTAGAGAACTAGGCCACCTGCATTTCTGGGCCTATAAACAGACTGAGAACAAATACAGATTATAAATATATTAACTAATCCCACTTTGATCCTCTTTTCCAAAGTAAACATTGCTATTAACAATAATGGCTCTAACACCTTCCTGTCGGCAGCCGTGGAAATAGTAGCTGCATCGCCATGTCTCAAACCCTCTTAAGCAGGTGGCACGAGATTTTACTGTCTCCACTCTACAGCTGCGGAAACAAAGGCCTAGAGGAAATTCTGTACCTTGTGTGCAGTCAACTTTGGGTCTCCAGTTTCGAGGGTTGCTCACCTAGTCTCTAATCACACCGGATTCCCAGATTCCTGAATATGGTGATGATGGTGCTTATGATGATAATAATGACAGTGGTGATGGTTTTGATGGGGGTGGTGAGGGTGATGATGGTGGTAGTGATGGTTATGATAATGGTGGTGATGGTGAGGATGATGGTAATGATGGTGGTGATGGTAATGATGGTGGTGATGATGGTGATGATGATGATGGTGGTGATGGTGAGGATGATGGTGGTGATGGTGGTGATGGTAATGATGGTGGTGATGATGGTGATGATGATGGTGGTGATGGTAATGATGATGGTGATGGTGATGATGGTGATGGTGGTGGTGATGGTGATGATGATGGTGATGATGATGGTAATGTGATGGTGATGACGGTGATGGTGATGATGATGATGATTGTGATGATGATGGTGGTGATGGTGATGATGGTGATGGTGGTGATGGTGGTGATGGTGATGATGATGGTGATGGTAATGATGATGGTGATGAGGATGGTAATGATGATGATGGTGGTGATGGTTATGATGATGGCAGTGTTGATCATGGTGGCAATGAAGGTGGTGGTAATGACAGTGGTGATGGTGATGGTGGTGATGGTGATGATGGTGGTGATGGTGGTGGTGATAATGGTGCTGTTGCTGCTGGTGGTGGTGATGGTGATGATGATGAAGATGATGGTGGCGATGATCATGGCGGTGATGAAGGTAACGATGACAGTGGTGACAGTGATGATAGTGGTGACGGTGATAATATCATGATGGTGACTGTGGTGATGACAGCAATGATGAAGGCAGTGATGACTAACAATCATATGGAACTCACCTTGTGCTGGCCCTGATCTATATCCTTTGTATAACAATTGATTTCATTCTCATAATTACCCGGGGAGTGAGGAATTATCATTATTCCTATTTTACAGACAAGTAACTGGAGGCTTAAAGAGTGAAGCCCCTTGATCAATCTCAAAAATGACATTTTAGAAATACTCATTCCAAGAATAGTAATACACAGAAATACTCATGCCAGGAGTAGTGAAAATAAGAAGTTTTGTTTCTTTGGAAGTAGAAAATATTATTATGAAAACTTGTTTTTGGCTCACTTGGGAACTAAGGTCAGCAGGGTCTCCTTGCCTTTTCTTTTCTTTCTTCTTTTTTATATATTTATTTTTAAATATTTGAGTCTCTATTTCACTCCCAGTCTGTGAAAAACATTTGTCCCTTTGAGGTGTTTATTCACCCTGGAAGCCTGGCCGCTATCCAAGCACCATTTGCCAGCTCTCCGTGTAAACCAGGGATGCACGTGCTCAAAACAGAACACAGCGAGGTAGCCTTCATTTGTTGAAACCCCCTCAAACCCCACAGTGTTTACTTACTTGCTTTCACCTTGTTTATTGTACCAAAAAAGCAGCACAACATAAAATGAAAACCAGACCGAAGAGGCGGAGTGTGCTGAGGATTTTCCATAGGTGCTCAGCATTTTCTGATGACTTGGCAGAGGGAGGAGACGGATGAAGAAATGATCTGTCACAGCCGTGCGGTACCAGAGGAGTCGGCTCTGCGGAGGCATGGAGGTGCTCTACAGCCCGCTGGGTTGTGGGATCGGCTCTTCCTGAAACTTCGTGGGCCTTCAAGGAGGGCACTGTGCTAGCTGCCAAGAATCAAATGGGGGAGAAGCCTGAAATTTGTGAACCTAAGGAAACTCAGTCTGGGGTGGGGGTGAGCAGAGAAGTAACTAGGCAACTACAAAGTGGTGCGGGACAGTCTATGGTGGGGCACAGCTGAGACCATTCACTTTATCTTCCCTACCCTGAGGGTACACAAGGAGGTCATGTTTCCCCGCCTCTCTTGCAGGCAGGCTGGGACCAGGTGATTAGTTCTGGACAATAGTGTGAGCAACAGTGACATGGGCCACTTTGGGTCCTGGGCAGCTGAGGCAGGACTGAGTTCTCTCCACTCTCTCTGCTCCTTCCTGTGCCCAGGAGTAATGCCTCCTTCAGCCTGAGTCCCTAACAATGGTGTGGAATGGGGATGTGAGCTTTTTGGGATATGCCGTGTGAGTGAGAAGCAGATGTGTGTTGCATGAAGTCCCTGAGGTTGCAGGGTTTATGTGTGACTGCAGCCCGACCTCACTGGTCCTGGCTGGTTCAAGGGAGCAGTTGCACAGTGCTCTGGGCATGAGGTAGATGGCAGGGGGATGGGGCTCAGCAAAGGCTTCCCTCAGACAGGAGAGGTAAACCGAGCCCTGATGGAGCTGGCCAGGTTACCAGCAGAGGAGGAGCTTTCCGTGCAGAGGGAGCAGCTCCTACAGGTGGTGGGGGGAGGGCACTGCATATCCAGGGCCAGGCAGGAGTGCCCAGTGCAGATGGAGCAGAGTGTGCAGGCAGGCACTGGCACCTCTCAGATGGCACGAAAAACACAAGGGAGGAAAAACAAAATCTGAGGATTCAGGCTGCCCTGGGCAGTGGTTTTCTGGCAAGCAAAGGCAAGAGGCTGGGGTGACTGGCATCACTGTCCCTGGGCATGCAGGTCCCTGGTACCTGAGAGAGGGTGAGGGCCGTAGCAGAGCTTTACACCCTCGCTGCCGGCCAGGCCCCGAGACTGCCTTGAGAAGCCCCAGGGGCTGTGTGTGAGGCCGGGCTGTACACTGTTCCCTCGCTTTAGCCCAGCCTGGGCCCCGTGCCCACGGATGGTACGGATGTCATCAACTTAGTGTTTATTTTTGGCTTTTTCCATTGCACTCAGAGCCAGCTATCAAGCCAGACACATTTTGCTTTTTTTTAACTTAGCCTGGCTTATGAGTCCAGCGTTGAACCAGGATCTGAGGGGAGGGCACGTATCGGCGTTAACACAGAAGTCCCAATTGTGTCTCTTGGATGGCAAGATAAAAACAGTTTGCAAAAAAAACGGGGAAAGAGCACAGGCAGAGCAGAGGTGGCTCCCAAAGGGAAGGCTCCGGCGGTGGGCTGGTGGGGGGCTGGCTGAGCCCGCGTCTGCAGGGGGCCATTGGCATCACCTGGCAGAGCCTGGACTAGCTGTCCTTCCTTCCCACCAATGTGCATGACAGGCAGCAGAGCCTCCCGGTGTGCAGGAGCTGAGACTCGCAGCCCACTGAATTTGCATGCTACTTACTCACCAGCCCCAGGCCTTGGTGGACAGTCATTGTCCTGTCACCTTGATCAGCCACACTGACGTTCATTCATTCAACAGGTCTGCTACACCCCTTCTGTGCCAGGTCCTGCTCTCAGTTCTGGGGACCTAACAGAACCTGTTGGACCCACCCGTGTCCTCAGGGAGCTTCCAGTCTAGGGAAAAGAGAGGAAGCTGTGAGCCACAGAAGGTCTCAGAGTGAGAATGGCCTTGTTCCATCACTCAACTTCTGGTTTCTTCCTACCTCTGTAGCTCCGCCTACAAGGTCACATTTCCAATCCTTAGATGTGAGGGTTTCCTGGTGCTTGGTCCCTGGCCCTCTCCTTCCTCCTTGTACTATTTCAGTCCCACCCCTCAGCTCCCAGGCATTCACCTAGCGTCTGAGCTGACCGTTTCCAGGTCCAGAGCTCAGGTCTCTGGCCTAACCTCCTCGTAGACATCTCCACTGGTATCCATCACACCCATACATCTGCTGCCTGGCTCTGTGCACCCAACACTGCAGCCCTGCCCAGGTGGGTTTACTTCTTCCACCTGCAAATCCACAGCCACACAGCCCAGGCTGCTGGCACCTCCAGCCAGGATCTCCCTGGAGCTTTGTGTTGGGCTCCTTCCTGTCCTCCTGTTCTCCCGCCTTGTCCACCTGCACACTACCCGTAGCCTAGTAATCACAGTGGCCCTTGTTCTGAATAGAAGGGCCCATCCCTCTGCTCAGAACCCTACCACAGCCCCTTGTCCCTCAGAGTCAAAGCCGAGGTCTTTACAGGCTCCCAGTGCTCTCTGCTCTCTCCACTCCCCCGACCCCTTCCAACTCTCTCCTCTCCACTCCTCCCACTCACCCCACCACAGCCAGGCTCATCTCTCATTCCTCCATAAGCAACCTGCTTCAAGACCGTCCCTCTCTCTGCTCCCTCTCCTGGCATGCCCTTCCCCTGATATATCTTTGGCTCCCACCTTCCCTTCCACAGGCTTTTACAATGCCACCCTCTCTGCAGCCTTTGGTGACTTCTCTATTTACAATGCAGACCCCACACCCAGCCCCCTACACCAACCCCCTGTCCTATTTTCTCCCCATGTGTTCATATGTGTGCACTTTACTTACTGATTTAATGCCTGAGTCCTCCCTCCAGAACATAAGTCCCTGAGGGCAGGAGTCTGTGCAGTTCTGTCCCCCGCTGTGCCCGCTGGAGGGGATGCCCTCAACCTAACATGCCTGGTTAGCTCTGCTTGCTTTGAACTTCATGGGATTAAACGACGCGCACTTTTGATGTCTGTCTGGCTTGTTGAGCTCAGCAACTCTACGGCTGTGGATTACCCATCTCCAGGGTGAATGGATGAGTATGCCACATTTATTCACCCGTTCTACTATGATGTGCGTTTGAGTTGTTTTCAGCTGCGGTTACTGTGGGTAGTGCTGCTATGCGCACCCCAATCCTTAATTGCTGGAATGGATATCCTTCAAACTGGCAGCTTGGACACAGGTTTGACCCCATGTGGGTGCGGCCTAACCCTCTCCTCCACCAGGCAAGTCCTGCTTGCCCAGATGGCATTTTTGTTAGCTAGAAGAGACGGCCATTCTTTCAAATGACTTTGGTTGCCAAAAATAATAACAGAGTCAATCTAAGGGGCGATTTTAAAATTCAGTTGTCAAGACTTCTCCAATCCAAACTCAGGGTGACCCCCTTTGGATGGCAGAAAGGGGACTGCATCCTCAATGGCACTTTTCTCAGACCACCACCCTCCAGGCCCAGCCACACGTAGTGGTGGCTGCCCACAGCTGGCAATTGTAATGGCATCTGGAGACAGAGCAGCTGACACCCTCTGCCCTTTGTGTGAGGGGTGAGGGGGGCAGAGGGGGTAAGGAAGGGACCAAGCCTGGCCCAGCCTTGGGGGAACATCGGCCGCTGCCTAGAAGGACGAGCTTCCCAGAAGCCCTCCTACGGAGAGCCCGTCTCTCAGAGGTCACGCTCTGGAACCCGGAGCAGCTTCTGCCACTCTCCTTTGTTTGGTTTTATGTTTTATTTTTAATTTGAGCCACATTTTTCTGAAAACGGGAGATGTCACCAATCATTTCAAACTTCTGGCTCCTCTTAAAATGCAGGAAGATACGGCCACCCTGGGCCAGCATTTGGCTCTGGCCACAGCTGGCTGAAGCTGAGCATTGGGCTCTCTACTGAAGGTGAGGGAAATTCCAAACATGAAGTTATTTTATGGTGGCATCATGACCTATGTGCATGTGGATTTGCTTCTAGGTGTTGAGAGAGATGGAAGAAAAAGAGCAAGACAAAGAGGGGTAAGACAGAGACAGAGACACAGAGACAGAGAGACAGAGAGACAGGGAGAGACAGAGAGAGGAGAAGGAAGACAGAGAGGGGCTGAGAGACAGAAGGTAAGACAGAGAGGTAGAGGGAGAAAATGATTCTAAAAGCCTGGGGTCTCTGCCCACCGATGAAACTGAAGACCGGTCCCTTCCCATATCCCACAGCCACCTAGAACGCGCAGCTTGCAGCCCTGAAGGTGAACGTGAGCTCCCCGTTTGCAGACGTATCCTCACTGTGCGGTAGAGCCTCCGTGGAAGCTGCTGCTTTTGCTCATTCAACAGCGGAAGCAGCATGATTTACAGGTGATTTAACTGTTCTTTCAAGGATTATTTTTTCTATACAGTTCTTAATTGGGGGCTTACCTGCTGACATTAGAACCTGATTCCCATTGAAGTGGCAACTCGGTTAAATGATATCTTTTTAGCCAAGCTGTACTCAGCCCCAGCCTTGACCCCTGGGGGAATGTCTCCTCCAGGTAGCACTGGCTGAAACCTGAAATGTGCCCACCTTTCCTGAGAGTGGGATGAGCAGGGGCCACGCAGCTCCTTCCTCACAGCTTCCAGCACCCAGGCTGAGCGGAGCTGAAGGGAACCACACCCCACGGAGAGCAGCGCCAGCCTGGCCAGCTTGTCCCCATCCCCATCCCCATCCCCAGGAGGCCAGGCCAGCTGCCAGTGGGGAGGATGAAAGCCGTGGCACCACAGGTGGTGAGATCAGCCTCCCACTGCACCTGGGGGGGGCGGGCCTCCTCCCAGAGCAGGCACTGAGCGCCAGGCCCCCCACAGCTGTCAGTCACAGCCAAATGGGTCCAGCAAACAAAATGTCACTCACTGTCCCCTGACAAGAACAAATAAATGGCCAGGGAGAGGCAGGAATAAGAGCAAGGCTACAGCTTTACCTTAAGGGCCCACGTGGCTGCTCCGCAAACCTCAAAGTCCTACAAGTACTCACAGACCCCCGGGCTGGCACACGCATGCCATGGACGTACTCACGTGTCCGCAGACATGCACACCCACATGTTCTGAACAACCTGAGCACACAGAGCACATGCAGTTTGGAACTGCGCAGAGGCAATGGCTGCACAACATTGTGAAGGCACCAAATGCCACTGTGTTGTTCACTTTAAAATGGTTGATTTTCTGCTACATGAATTTCCTCTGAATTTTTAAAAGGCAACAGCCGC